AACAAAATTTCTTATATTGTGTTCTTATCCTGATCCAAAGGCAGTTGTATATCCAATATCTTCTTCTTTGGTTCTGAAATATTTGGATTTTCATCTCAAGCTTTTCACAAAAATTTCACTTAGGGGCTTTTTGTTTGCCTCTTAATGGAACCATTCAGCGCTGAATGCTGAACCGTTCAACATTCAGCGCGTTTTTTTCGCACCTCTGAATGATTCAGTGCTGACTGATTCAGTAAAACAGTGCTGAATCATTCAACACAGAAGTACATTCTGAATCATTCAGAGCCGCTTATTAAACAACATGTCACATTCAGAGTCAAACCATTCAGAGCCTCTGAATCATTCAGCATTTGAATCATTCAACGCTTAATCATTCTAAAGTAAACAAACAACCCCTTACTCTTATTTTCATGTTTTTGTATCCATGAATAAGTTGTCTTTTGTTTTTCATGCATAGGAAATTTCCACTTCAAGGAAGCTACTAGCAGGTTCGTCTGAAAAGACGCCAATTATATGTTTTTTTTTTTTTTTTGTGAGTAGGGAATTGAATTTTGCTTTTTTTATAAGCGAATATTGTAGCCTGGAATGAAATTTTGAAAGCATGCAGGCTGAAACTCATTAAAATTTGTCAATTGAATCATGAGTTGATTGATACCAATTTCAAACTAAATAATTTTCATACAAAAAATTAGAGAAAATATTACCGATCTAGCACCTTTTGCTAAAACCTTATGCTTTTTATAAAAAAAAAACTTACGCTAATATGGCGCCACGTATGCAAAGGCACGGATGATTCGTGCCTTACGCCAGCTGGCGTCACATCAACGTAAAGCGTGTATCATCATCCGCACCTTTCTGCCAGCCTGACACACGTGCTAGAAAAACGCGGATGATGATCTACGCCTTTCATAATTGTATCTAAATTTCTCGGCTTTTATACTTTCCCCTCGGCTATAAATAAGGCCCTCTCAACCCGGAAACATCACCCATCAATTCATCTTATCTTTGCTTCACAAGTTCGTTCGATATTTCGTTGTAAGATAATTTTTTTAATATATAATAATTTTTATATGATTATTTGAAAAAAATTATTGTACTAATTATTTTCTTCTAATTTTTGTAGTTGTATCATTAGAAAGCTAGATCATACGTCGAAACATTTTTATTGATACGGTAATAATATTAAATTATAGTATTTAAATTATTTACGTTTATTTTAATTATTTTATTTCGTTATATTTTAATTCATATATTATTTATTTAATTAGGCTTATTTCAGCTTTTTTTTTTTTTTTTTTGCAAATATAAGATTGTTTACTTTTCAAGAATGACGCGAATTTCAGCAATTATTTACTATGATGGAGAAATTCGGAAAGATGAAACCGGAGTTGTGTTCGTATCAAATCATTCTGTTAAAATATCCTTCAAGAAAAACATAACTCTTGAGGAGATGATAACGAAGATTTCAAGAAAGGTTCATGTTGAAAGTACTAGAAGACTGTTATCGCTTCAGTACAAATTTTCAACATCAGTGTTTCAGTTAACTTATACAGTGTTCGAACTATCGAATGATGATGATGTTGAAATGATTGTTGATTCTCAAAATCATTATTCATACGTCGATACGGAGATATATGCAAAGTTTGTTGAAGTACATGTTCTGGGTATGTCATTAAACTCCCACTATGGGTTGGCTAAACAAGCTGATCAAGTTGACAGCCCAACGATAATAATGTGTATTGATTTTAATGTCATAATGGGAAATACGCATAATGATATCATCCCATAAAGTTCAATGGGAAGACATTAATCAGCAACTCTTTACGATCTGTACCGATATGGATCCATAAACAATCCGTATGACAACATTGCGTCCACTTCAAGGGAAGGCATTCATCTGCCAATTTCTGACCTAAACATAAAGATGTCATCGACGCAACAATCTGGGTAGTTTCCATTTGACACGATGGCTTCAAGCTCTAGGGGGAGACATTCTACTGCGAGCTTATTTGATCTCAATGTCGAGATGTCTTCAAATTCAAGGGGAAGGCATGCAAGTACCAGATTGTTCGACCTAAATGTGGACAATGTGAAGGAACTCTCATCTCCACCAAAAAAATCTCTTCGTGAACCAGGTGCAGATGGTGTTGAGACTGGACTATTTGTTCACTCACAATCACTGCAGTTCAACATAGACTCCGATGATGATGATAATGATGATATAGATGAAGTTCTCTCCAATGTGCTACACACTAAACCTCCAACACACATGAATGAAATTGACTATGGTGCAATGTACATGTCAGAATTTTCGGATATGTCAAATCTAGGTGACTATGGATTTAACTCATCAATAATTAATGGGTATTTTTTGTTTTATGTAAAAAAAATGAATTTTAAATCACTTTATTAATACACCGTTTGATTTAGCTTGTTTCATGAAAAGATCTTTTTCTTGTATTTGGTTAATTTTTTTATTAGAATATTTTGTGTGTCTGTGTGAAGTTAAAGTTCAATTTGAAGTTATGATTGAGAAAAGAGCATTTTTTATACTTCCTGTTTTTTTTGTGCTTCTTTGTGCGAGTCGGGAATTGAATTTGAGTATAAAAAAAGTACTTGATATATTTATATAGGAAAGCTGCTTAGTTATCAAAGATTGTGGAGATTGAGAACTCTTTGTCATACCCGAGACTGAATCTGATTTAGAGCTTGTGAATTTGGAGCCTCTTCTACAGCTTCCCAGACTTCCATAATCTGTGTAAATAGAAACTCAGAACTCGGAAACATGGATCATTTAAAAAAAACCACCGAGGAAAAATTAAGCATCTAAAGAAAGAATAATTTTTAAAAAGTTTCAATTACAACAGTGAGCAACTCTGGATCTGCAACTGTCTGTTCTTCATCAACATCTACTCCTTCAAGCCTCAACTAATGAAACAACAAATATCAAATTCACAAAAATATTCAAATACCAATTTTTTTTCTGTTTGAAAAGGCAAATACTGGAAAATCAACATACAACAAAGGGGGAAAGAGACAATGAAATAGAAGGGTTTGAAAGAAAACATGATCAAGAAAATCTACTAGCACAATTCAAATCAATTGGACCATGAAACAAATTCTTTAATGTCAATTGACCTATTAGTGTTATAAAAAAAAGTAAGACTCAACAACAAGCACATTTTATCTTAGGTTGTATTCTAAAGCCATTTCTCAATTACACTGATAATATTCAATCTAAATCACCTCAATTATATTTACTATGCAAAACAATCACTTCAAGTAAATTAAAATATCATGACTACAAGTGCAAACAAAACTTCAGAAACTACATATCCAAAAAAAACTTCAGAAACCATATAACTGTACCTTACTTAAGATTTAAAGTAACACTTACAATGTATACCGCCCTAGACAACGGCTTGCTAAGTGTGCGATCCGCATCGATAAAACGTCCAGATTGTTCAGCAGCATATTCTCTCTTTCTAACAATTACAAAAAAAAATATAATTCTAAAAACAGATATGAATCCGAAACCAAATTATTTGTTTGGAATGACCAAACCTCCGATTTTGAATGAACAATGTCAGGATTCAGTTCTTCTGACAATCCTTGTACCTCCTCTCTAACCCATAAACCTCAATTTCATACTTTTTCAATCTGTTAATAGTTTTAAAAATTACCGAACAACATGGAAATAGAAGCAATAATTAGGGGGGAAATGAAACTAGCGGGAAAATGCACTTACAGTCCAAAAATTTGAAAGTAATCGATGGATAAATCAACAGGCTGAATGCTCCGGCAGGAATCACAATACAAGAACGGCGCCGAGCCAGGAGCGTCGGCAACGCAGTTCCAGCACCGTCGTTGTAGAATCGAAATTTGCGGCGGATTGCGAAGAGAAACTTGGAAGGGAAATTTTTGAATCAGGGAAAATTTCAAGGCGTAGGGGAGCCCTAGAAGAAGATTGGAGGTGAGAGGATAAAGATGGAATTTGTGAATTTGCAGAGAAAGGAGCCAAACGACATGTCGTCGGAAGAAGTCTGCGGAAAACGGCGGAGAGAGGAGACCAAAGCTGCTTCGTCTTGTACATCTTTCCTTCCGCTTCTACTTCTAAACCCTAAAAGTTGGTAAAGAAATTATTGACCTTTTTTTTCTCTAAATTGCGTTCGGTTTACGTAATTTAAGTTGGTTGGCAGTAATATAAGAGCATCATTTTTAATTAAAAGAATAAAAAATTATTGTAATATATATTTAATTAAATTTTTTTATTATATATTTATTTTTTAATAAATTAAAAATATTTATATATTTTTTTAAAATTTTAAAATAATAAAATTTATATATATATATATATATATATATATATATATATATATATTTTATAAAATTAAAAATATAAAAAGATTTAATGAATGGGTAAAATTTTATTTTAACCCCTGAACTTCATATAAAATTTTAATTATAATTTTTTTTTGTAAATCTAAAATAGTTTAAAGATAAATTTATAATTTAACCTTCGTATAATTTTTATTATTCAATGATAAAAGAATGATATTTTTGAAAGAAATAAATTAAGGATATTTTAGTCCAAAACGCTGGTAATCCAACAATACTCAAGAAAATAGAGGTAATGACATTCCAGTAATATGTCCCAAAAAATCTACTATTAATAATAAAACATTACCGGGAATGAGATTCCTGACCAACCAAACATGGGAATATGAATTTCATTCCCATGAGAATCCCACATTCCTTGATCCAAACACCTCCTAAAGGCTTTAAAGTTTTACATATTGAATTAGAATGTCTATTTAATTTACTCAGATTTAGGAGGATTTTTTCAATAAGGATAACAATTTTTTATTTAGTCTATTAAGGTATTGATTTTGAGATCTATGGTATTTTTTACAGAGTTATTAAAATTTGTTATTTTGAAGTGATGAATTCTAATAAAATATAAATATTTTATTCTTCCAATATTCTCTCTTTTTTCTCAAGAAATAACGGATAATGAAAGGGGGGAACAGCCCAAAATTCAACATCTTAAAACTCATTTCCGGCCACTGAAAACTATATCGTAGCACCCATTTCCAGAGCTTTACTTTTCTACAAAGTTAAACAAATAAAGACTACAATCTCATGCAGCCCTGCCATTTGGTTCCCGGTTGCTGCCTTTGCGATTCCAAATAGGAGTGGTTTCAATAAGCTCATGGGGTACAAGTCGTTTTTCGCGCTTAGTAAGCTTGCGGAATTTTCTTACCCTTAGCCTGGCTATCTCGGCCTCCTCTTCTGGGGTCGTTTCCCTCACTACTATGGTTAGCCGGCACTCGGGTTTCTCTCTAATTCCGGATCGCCCTTTACCATGATAGGAAACTCTCTTCAAAAATAACCCCTTTCCGACAAATGCCTCCTCTGTTTAACATTGAAACGAAATGAAGAATGAATACAAGCACAAGAATTCAAAGTGATACAAGCATGCTCATTTCCACTTCTTACCAACTAGCAGACGCTCAGGAACCAATCCATGATTATGGGTAGCATTTGCTTTAGCCGAGTGAATAACCTGCATTGCAAGGTGTTATATAATTATAAAAAATGTTAGAACTCTATTGTTCGCCGACAATGCAAAAGTATTTTCCTTCTAAACAATACCAAAAATATAGTTGGAGCAGTACAAATTTCGGATTCTTTTCCAATTTTCTTTTTCCGGATTTCCTTTGGGGGTAAATAGCTATAGCTTCTTACTAAGATGAGTTTAAAGTAGATCAAGTGCAGAAATTTCAACGATAAACAACACAAATACTTCAAAAAAGAACTATAGCTCAGCAATAGGGTCGAGCTGTTGAATTACCTGATAGACAGTTTCAGCAGCTCGCTTTACTGTCACTTGCAACTGCAACAAAGCATCCTCAACTCTCATACCACGAACTAATGCAGCAACCAAGTTGACCTTCTTAGGACTCTAAAACAAGCAAGTCAGCCAAAGTTAATTCTACTAGATAGGAACATCAGGAGCATGGCAATACAGCATAACAACGGTAGTACAAGGTCCCATATTAGTTAAGTAATCATTTTTTCCCCTTTTTTGGTTAGCTCTGAGTACACCATTATTTACAAGTAGGGTCAACTGATTTAATGCTAAAATTTCACCAGCTTTATCATTGGGAACTAACTTGAATGCAGGAAAGACATGGCTAATTTACCCCAAGCAGAATTTAGGCAAGTGGTTGTAATATTGGAAATTCAGAAACTAGCCTCCATCAGTTTTAGTAAAGATATATTAACAAGTAGTTGAATGGACGTTCTATGATATGTTCTCAAGCATGATATCACAAACAGAAGTTAGCAACAAGTCTGTTTAAGCGGAATTTCTCTCTAAATCTCCTAAAGCTTGAGAGCAAATGCATCTATTTCACTAATAGCTTTAGATCCCAAGAAAGATCCCATCCGCTTGACTATGTCCTATAGAAATTTTATGCAAAGTTCATCGACTAAAGGACTCATAATATAATTTATTTCAACTGATCAAAAATAAGATTTATGTTCAGAAGTGTAAACCGAATATGGTGTTTTCCATATATTAAGCTAAAAAACTCAAATAAAGATGGAGACGAGCCTTTTTCTTAGCATGCTTATGTAAATTTTCCAAATTGAAAACGTCTCATGTAATAGGGTTTTCTTGTTATTTAAGATTGGCAACTATTACATGTAGAGGATCATGCATCCCTAAAATTATAAAATTTTATCATATCTCTGTATTTTCATTACATAAAACTGATATTTTATAGCTCCCAAGTAGTCCCTACCAATTAAATTACCTGCCTCTTTTCTTACCTTCAAGTAAACCGCCTTCAAATATTGAAATAAGCAAAAAGTTCAAAACAATAAATTCTGGGTTACTGTTCAGGAGGTAACCTGTTTTATCTTCTTTAACACTGCTTGAACTTTTGTGCGATTGGGAGCAACTTTCTTCTCTTCAGTCTTTCCACTATTTATTGCCAAAACAGGAGTTAATGGTGATGCAATTGCCGTCTCTTCAGACGAACCTGCTAGTAGCTCCCTTGAAGTGGAAATTCCCTATGCATGGACAACAAAAGACAACTTATTCAAGGATACAAAAATATGAAAATAAGAGTAAGTGAAATTTTTGTGAAAAGCTTGAGATGAAAATCCAAATATTTCAGAACCAAATAAGAAGATATTGGATATACAATTGCCTTTAGATCAGGATAAGAACACAAGATAAGAAATTTTGTTCATAACACTGTAAAATTGTTGAAATTTTGCTTTTTATCAGTTAGAAGCATTCTATTGATCTTCAATAAGTTGAGACCACCTCAAACCAAGGGAATCATATAGTCAAATGCAAGTCCTTTTCCAACAATGAACAAATAAGAAACTCTGATCTTTTTGCAGAAAGAACCCATCGACAAGCAAAATTATGACAAATTGAAAAGAACAAGTTGGCATTACCGATTGTTGAAAATACTGATACAAAGGCGTTGAGATACTTGCAGAAGGTGATCTCCACAATCTCTGATAACTAGGCAGCTCACCTGCATAAATATATCAAGTACTTTTTTCATACTCGAATTCAATTTCCTAGGTTGTTGTTTGTTTTTATATTATTGGTATATCGGAATGATTTGGAAATGGTATATGTTTGTAACTAGGTGATTAACCTAGGAGGTAGTTTTTGTGTAGGGTATTATCATATACATGTCGGTAGTGTTGTTTAGCGCTGTGTTGAGTGCGCTACCATCATTTTTGGGTGGTAGTGTGATCTTATTGTATTTGGTTTTTAACGAGGCCTTCCTTTTTATCAAAAAAAATTCCCTACTCACACAAAGAATCACAAAAAAAATGCAATTGGTGTCTCTTTCAGACGAACCTGCTAGTAGCTTCCTTGATGTGGAAATTCCCTATGCATGGAAAACAAAAGACAACTTATTCAAGGATACAAAAACATGAAAATAAGAGCAAGTGAATTTTTTGTGAAATTCCCTATGCAGGTCCTTTTACAACAATGAACAAATAAGAAACTCTGATCTTTTTGCAGAAAGGAGCCATTGACAAACAAAACCATGACAAATTGAAAAGAACAAGTTGGCATTACCAACTGTTGAAAATACTGATACAAAGTCGTTGAGATACTTGCAGAAGGTGATCAAGAAATATACTAGCACAATTCAAATCAATTGGACCATGAAACAAATTATTTCACGTCAATTGACCTATCAGTGTTAACAAAAAAAAGTAAGATTCAACAACAAGCACATTTGATCTAAGGTTGTATTCTAAAGCCATTTCTCAATTAAACTAACAGTATTCACTCTAAATCACCTCAATTATATTTACTAAGCAAAACAATCACTTCAAGTAAATTAAAATATCATGACTACAAGTGCAAAAAAACTTCAGAAATCATACAACTGTACATTACTTATGATTTAAAGGAACGCTTACAATGTATACCGCCCTAGACAACGGCTTGCTAAGTGTGCGATACACATCAATAACACGGCCAGATTGTTCAGCAGCATATTCTCTCTCTTTCTAGCAATTCCAAAAAAATAATTATAATTCTAAAAACAGATATGAATCCGAAACCAAATTATTTGTTTGGAATGACCAAACCTCCGATTTTGAATGAACAATGTCAGGATGCAGTTTCTTCTGCCAATCCTTGTACCTCCTCTCTAACCCATCAACCTCAATTTCATGTTTTTTCTCTCTGTTACTAGTTTTAAAAATTACGGAACAAACAAGGAAATAGAAGCAATAATTGGGGGGTGAAACTAGAGGGAAAATGCACTTACAGTCCAAAAATTTGAAAGTAATCGATGGATAAATCAACAGGCTGAATGCTCCGGCAGGAATCACAATACAAGAACGGCGTCGAGCCAGGAGCGTTGGCGATGCAGTTCCAGCACGGTTTCGTTGTAGAATCGAGATTTGCGGCGGATTGCGAACAGAAACTTAGAAGGGAAATTTTTGAATCAGGGAAAATTTCAGGGCGTAAAGGAGCCCTAGAAGAAGATCGGAGGTGAGAGGATAAAGATGGAATTTTTGAATTTGCAGAGAAAGGAGCCAAACGACATGTCGTCGGAAGAAGTCTGCGGAAAGCGGCGGAGAGAGGAGACCATAGCTGCTTCGTCTTGTACATCTTTCCTTCCGCTTTTACTTAGAAACCCTAAAAGTAAGTAAAGAGAAAACTGACCTTTTTTCCCTGAAGGATTTAAATTCTATTTAATGTACTCCGATTTACTTGAAATGAATATATTTTCAAATTGAATTAAATATTTTTACAAAAATTATTAGATATTAGTTTATGATTTAATAAAAAATTAATTTTAAAAAATATTCTTAACCTTAGGATGATAACCTGTTATAGATTTAATTTTTTTTAAATTTTTTTTATAAAAATACACATCATTATTTTAAAATCATTTATGAAATTATTATTTATTTTATTGGTGGTGTACCAAACGATAACCTAATTTTTTATATGAAATTATTTAGTTTGAAATTGGTATCAATCAACTCATGATTCAATTGACAAATATTAATGAGTTTCAACCTGCATGCTTCCAAAATTTCATACCAGACTACAATATTCGCTTATCAAAAAAGCAAAATTCAATTCCCTAGCCACACAAAAAAGTAAAAAAAAAAAAACATGTAATTGGCGTCTCTATAGACGAACCTGTTAATATCTTCCTTGAAATGGAAATTCCTTATGCATGGAAAACAAATGACAACTTATTCAGGGATACAAAAACATAAAAATAAGAGTAAGTGAAATTTTTGTGAAAAGCTTGAGATGAAAATCCAAATATTTTAGAACCAAAGAAGAAGATATTGGATATACAACTGTCTTTGGACCAGGATAAGAAATTTTGTTCATAACAATGTAACATTGTTGAAATTTTGTTTTTTATCCGTTAGAAGCAATCTATTGATCTTCAATAAGTTGACACCATCTCAAACCAAGGGAATCGTATAGTCAAATGCATGTCCTTTTACAACAATGAACAAATAAGAAACTTTGATCTTTTTGCAGAAATGAGCCATCAACAAATTGAAAAGAACAAGTTGGCATTACCAACTGTTGAAAATACTGATATAAAGGTGTTGAGATATTTGCAGAAGTTGATCTCCACAATCTATGATAACTAGGCATCTCACATGCATAAATAAGTACTTTTTTCATACTCAAATTCAATTTCCTACTCACACAAAGAAGCACAAAAAAAAACATAAAGTATAAAAAATATTCTTTTCTCAATTATAACTTCAAATTGAACTTTAACTTCATACAAACACACACATAAAAAATATACTAATAAAAAAATTAACCAAATACAAGAAAATGATCTTATTCATGAAACAAGCTAAATCGAACGGAGTATTAATAGTCAAATGATTTAAATTTCATTTTTTTATATAAAACAAAAAATACCCATCTTTTCTTTCTCGAACTCAATCTCAAATTTAACCTTAAGATTACCCAATAAAAAGAAGAAAGAGGGAAGGAAATAAATTAACCAGGTAAAGCAGGGGAGTTTAAGCGAAAAATATAATAAGATTATTTGGCAGAATGAGTATTGTTATGTTCTAATCATCTTCCAACTTGACGAATAGCACAATGTAAATCTCTCTGCCACCCCACCGTGTTCAAAAGATCTTCTCTTTTAGGCCTTTCGTCGAAATCCTAACAAAAAACAACAAACAAAATACATTAGTAGAAATGAGAATTAAGAACCCATTATATATATATATATATATATATATATATATATATATATATATATATATGAAGATTAAATGCAAAAGAATTAATAAAAAGTTGAAATTTAAAAGAAATGAGATTGGAAGAGAGAGCTAACATACTTGTTTGATGTCGTATGAAGCTAAAAATGAGTGTACGGAGTCGGATTTAAAAGTGTGGTGAACGGTAAAAACCCTAAAAAAGGTTTTGCATTGAAGGTGAGAGGGTAAACCCGATTGAACATGGAGCAGATTCTTGGGTCTGGATAGTAATCAAAGAAGAAGGAAATTTTAATTTTTTGAGTAAACTACACCCATGGTCAGTTAATTATGGGTTTGTTGATGAATAAGACACTTTATATATACATATATAAGGTTACAAACATGTTACATAATTAAAATATTGTTATAAATAAGTTATTTTAACATTGAAATTGAAACATATGGCTAGTGTGGTATGATATATTAATATTTTTAATCTTTAAAACATGTATATTTTATTAATTTTGTCTTAATTTAAAATAATCTTATAAATTTAACATTTTATATTTAGAAATTTCATCAATTTAGTCTTTTTTACGTATTAATAAACCAAGTGAGTCTATCGGATTAATGCAGTACTTGGATATGTCTAATGTGATATGATATAATTGTATTTTTAATCTTTAAAACATGTACATTCTATCAATTTTGTCCTAATTGAAATAATCTAATAAATTTAACTTTTTATATTTAAAAAATCTATCAATTTAATCTTTTTTAAATATTGATAAACTAAGTGAGTTCATCGGATCAAAGTAGTAGCTGAAAAATTATATGTTGTCATAAAAAATAACAAATTATTGTCAAATTGTTAGAATACTAAGAAAGTAATTTAACATTTCTAGTATTATTTTGAACTTATTTTAATTTATATTACGTATAAAATTGCTTGATTTTTGTAAGAATGTTTTACAATTATTATGGATATTGAAATTTTGGTATTAGTTAATAAATTGACGTCTTGATCATGAGAAGATAAAAAAATTTAAATAATGATCACTTCAATGTCCAATATAATATACTAGGTTCATCCTGTAACGTATTAAGTTTAAGATATTACATAAAAGATAGAGATACAAATTTACAACATAAAAATAAATGACTCGTGTCTTAAACCCTTAGGGGCATTTGGTTAAGGTCATATTGGATTACCAGGGGAATAGAATGTCATTCCCCCGTTTGGTTGGTAAACATTCTCAATTCCGGTAATAAGTTATTCTCAACAGTGGTATTTTGGAGTATATTATCGGAAATGTGATTACCCCTTCCCTTAGGTATTGTTACATTTTAGACTAAAATGCCCTTAATTTTTTTTTCAAAAATATCCTGTCGTTGAATAAAAAAATTCTACAAAGATTAAATTACAAATTTATCCTTAAACTATTTTAGCTTTACAAAAAGTCTATAATTAGAATTTTATATGAAGTTCAGGTGTTAAAATAAAATTTTACTATTTCATTAAACCTATTTATCTTTTTAATTTTGTAAAAAAATTATATAAATTTTATGAATTTAAAATTTTTAAAGAAAACATATAAATTAAGTATAATAAAATTAGAGTAGAATTCAACTTGTTAAAAAATAAATATATAATAAGGACAATTTGGTAAAATATACATTCCAATAATATTTTTTTTCTTTAACCAAACACTGCAATATTATATTCCTGCTAAACGAACCAAACACAACAATGCAGCATTCCCAGTAATCTTATTCCCGCCGGTAATCCTATTCCCACCGGTAATATTATATTTCGTGAACCAAACGCACCCTTAATTAACTTAAAGATACTCTTATGAAGAAATAATGAATTTGTTATAGATCTTTAGGGATGATAGGAAAATATATATTGCATTTCCAAAATTGATTTGCTTTGATTCACAAAACTAATTTCTTCTCAGCAAATGCTCTAAGCCTGAATGATGGAGAGAAAGCGGACGAAATGAAAAAATAGAGCTAGGGGAAAGAGGATGACACCATCACCATGCCTAATTACCTTTTAAACCCTAAGTCTACACTCAACAATTGAAAGAGTAAATTAGATTTGATTTCCCTCAAGGGGCATATTACACTTTTGGTCCTTTCTTTTTTACTCGCAATTTTAAAATCTTATTCTTAATATCAATTAGATTTGATTTTTATTCGATTATACTCAAATCTTGATTAACAAATTCAATATTTTATATTAATTATCAACATTTTAATTGAGTCAATGTCAAAATATTGACTCCAAATTTTGAATCGATACAAAAATAAATTTTATTATATAAATATTTTTTATCAAAAAAATCTCATAAATTAAATAAAAAACATATTTATGGGCGGATGTAGGCATGGACCTATCCAGGCGGCCAAGCCATGACATCTTAAATAAAGAGATAATCTCGGATATCTATCCTCTTTTGACGAGGTAAAAGTTTTGGTTGAGGTTCAGCAGATGTCGATAATCCCGGATCGTCTTGGGTTGATGGTGAATGGTCATTCTTAAACGATTAAAATGAGATCGGAAGTGTATGAGGGGGATCGACAGTTTATTGACGGGATCTTTTGCTACACAAACGAGGAGTTTCACGTGGTGCATGGGGTGGAGGGATTCCAATGTAATGATGAGGTGCATACTATTGCTATGAGGATCGAGGAAAATATGGATAATGGAATTCAATTTTGCCTGGTCGGGGTGACAAAGTTGGAGCCGTTCAATCTTTGTTGATTCCCGAGGATAACTATTGTCATGGATAATTGATGGAGACCAACTGTAATATTTTGCATGATGTGCCTGCTATTTCTGATAGTGAGAGTTTGGGTGATGGTCTTGGGCTGAAGCGTGGTAAAATCAAAGATGATAGTGATGCGTATATGAACCCATTTTTTTCTAGGCATAATGCAAACAAATTCTCCTAACGTTTGACCATATATGCAATTGTGCCCAAATCATTTTTTTTGAAGCATTTGATCTCCCCACGTTTCATTTTTGGTCAAAAATCACCCTTGTTGGATGAAAACCGTAAGTCAACTGACGGTCAACAGTTCCAGCTGACTAAGCAAGTACATGTGGACAACAATGATGATGTGGCGTGTCCACGTCACCAATATATACTGACATGGAATTGACACGTCAACAATTTTTTTTTTGTTTAAAAAATTAATTTCAATTAGAATTTTGCACCGATAAGGAGAGTGTAACTCTCCTATTGGTGCGTATTAGCAAGCATAAATTAAAGGTTGCTATTTGCGTGAAAGAGGATTTGAACCTGGGGCAAAGGCATGATATAGGATTACCCTTGCCACCAGGCCAAGCATGCTATTTAATTTTGTAATGAAACAAAAGCTTATTTAACCCATATTAAATCTTCAGTTTAATTAAACCAAATAAAACACGTTTCAACTATCTCAGAGGATCTTCAAACCTAAAACCAAGTATCTCCAAATTCAAATTGATCTAAAACCCTAATTTCATATCCCCTTTCAATTCCATCTCCATCAAATTCGAAAAGAACAAATTTTGAATCTTTTCCCCTTTCAATGAGTCCATCTCAAATGCAATAGAAGGTGAGTTTAGTTTTTAAAGAAAAACCTTGAATATTTGGGTTTGTTTAGGATTAATGGGTTTGGCTAAATGATTTGGTTTATGCCTTTGTATCTAATCATTTGTTAAATATTTGGGTTTTCTAACTTGTGGGTTGTTAATAACCGTACAAATTGATGTGAAAATTTGTTATGGTTATTTTTTTCGAATTGGGTTTTGTTTGGGTTTTGCACGAAAGGGTATATATTTGGGTTTGTGCATCTATTATTTGAGTTTCCAGTAATGAATCGAAGGTGAAAATCATAATTTTGATGCATATATCATCGGTGGGGATTGCATTTTGTAGGGTATATGAGTGGTGGGGACTGCATATTTGGTTTTTTTATATTGGGAAAGTGGTCCCTCCATGTTCATGCATCCATTGTTTGTTTTTTTATTGCGAAATGCAAGGCAAGCCAACTATCTTTCTTGGGTTCGGTTTTTTCAGATGATGATGATTTCTGGGTTTTTGTTTGATTCAGTGTTGTTTCATAGTTTTATGATAGATCAGTTCCTTTATATGATTAGTTTTAGATACTAGTGTTTTTTGGTATTTAAATATATAGATTCTCGTTCGAGCTTGTTTGCTTAATAGTTTTGGAGAATTGAAGACCCGATTTTGCATTTAGTCAAGCAGTTCAAAATATGTATTTTGTTTTTCATTTTTTCCCATTGTGGTTTGCTGAGGAATGCTTCGAATTGAACATACATTTCCCAATGAAGTTTTTGATTTGGATAGTTCAGTGTCAACTCTTGATTTAACTCACAATAGATTAGGTATGACCTTTCTCAACTTTAATTTTTAATAATTACACTCTTAAACAGCTTAGTGAATCCTTAGTTTTCCCCTTTATCTTTTCATTCCATGCAGTTGAAATTCTTGTGGATATGCAACATTTGGTAAGAAATATGCAAGTTTTGTTTGCAATATTTATAGCTTCTTTTGACTCGTAAATGTTGAATAATGTTGTTCTGATGTAAAGACTTCATTATTTTTGGCCACTTTTTGTACATTCGTAAGTTTTTGGGACACTAAATGTGTTGTTATGTTTGGAAAATGCATTTGATTAAAATATTTTATCGAGCATTTGTATGTCCTTATTAGCATATTGGCTTTTTGTGATGGATGAAGTGATTTTATTTCTTTTCCTAAAATAAAAGATGGTGAAAGCTTAGCTACCTTTTAAAGTATCTCTTCCTTTTTCCCTGCACAGATTTTAGCCACTAATCTTATTGAGCGACTATCAATTAATCTTGGGAAGCTTCAGTCTCTGAAAGTTATGATACTTGATGGGAATCAAATTACTACCTTGCCAGATGAATGTAATACCCTTTCCTAGATAAGTAAGAAAGATCTAATATATACCCATTTCTTTGCCTCATGACAATGTCTGCAATCTTCGTGGTTTAATTAAATTGAAGATTTAACATGGGTTAAATAATCTTTTGTTTTATTACATAACCAAATAGCATGCTTGGCCTGGTGGCAAGAACAATCTCGTTTCACAACTTTGCCCTAGGTTTGAATCCCTTTTCATGCAAATAACAACCTTCTCTTATTGGTACAAAATTCTAATTGAAATTAAAATTTTAAACCAAAAAAATTGTTGACGTGTCAATTCCACGTCAGCATATATTAGTGATGTGGACACACCACGTCATCATTGTTGTCCACCTGTGTTTGCTTAGTCAGCTAGAGCCGTTGACCGTCAGTTGACTAACGGTTTTTATCCAATGAGGGTGATTTTTGACTCAAAATGAAACGTGGGGAGGTCAAATGATCCAAAAAAAAAATGATTTGGGCACAATTGCATATATGGTCAAACGTTAGTGTATTTGTTTGCCTTATGCCTTTTTTCTATTGGGTCTAGTTTCTTAGAAGTACCCATTTCGATTGCCCTCAACGTGGGCCTTATCTCTTCCTTTGTTAATCGGGATGAGACTATAAATAAGCAAGTAGTGGGTCTTCCTTCAGCCAATCAGGTTATTAGTCCTAGCATGGAATTTCCTAGAGCAGGTGTCCTCGCCTCCAACTAAGAGAAATAATAAAAAGTCCAAATCAGTCATTAAAAGCAAAAAGAAAGTTAGGTCTAGAGAAGAATATTGTAGTGTTTCAGTTGATGGAGTTGGACGAGAAAATTCGTGCCTGGTAGCTGTCAATGGTTTATCCTCTGAAGCAATGGCCACTTTTGAAGTCGGTTCCAGTTTGGGCATCGAGTTCAATGCCACAGATCGAGTGGTAATGGCCAGATTCGAGAAAATAGAGAATGATCCCGAGCGCTAAACCATATCCAGGTTGAGTTTCAAGGTACCTTCTGTGCATTTTTTACTGATTCATGGTTTTACCTATATTTATCTGGATATTAGGAATAAGCAAAAAAGTTAGAGCCAATAAAAGTGCTATTTCACAGTGCAAAGCTAATGTTATTCTACTGAAAGAAACGAAAATGAAAGAAGAAAAATTGATGATTCTGAATCGGCTTAAAGGTAGTTCGTTTGATGAGTCTGCATTTGTTCTGTCTATCAGATCTGCTGGTGGGTTGCTATATTTATGGAATTCTAAATGTTTCTAAGTGCAAAGAAAGATTCTGCAAAACATTTTTGGTACTGGTTGGCAGATGTAGCAAGTACAATCTGGATTTCAGGGTGATTAATGTGTATGCCCCCAACGATTAAGCTGAAAGAAGAGATTTTTTTTCTCTCATTTGAAGCTACTCCAAATAGGTTCTAGGGTGGTTTTTTAATGAAACCTTCCGGTATGTCCGGTTTTTGTATGTTTCTCTTATTTTAAATTATACGAAACCACCCTTTTGAAAAATAATAATATTTTTATTAAACTTAAAATTTAGCTGCAATCATATTTTATTAAATTAATTTAAATACAGTCCTACTTCTAATTTAATTTTGCCTGAATCCTTATAAAGCTTGAATATTTATCTTTCACTTATTTTGGATTTTTAGCATTCTTTCATTGGAATTTATTATTATTTTTGAACTTTTATGCTTTATTTTTTGTTTCGCTTCTTAAGTTCTTGTGAATTTGTAGTGTTGTTAGCACTCAGCAATTTTTATACGTTCAAGATTACAATAAAAATCTAAAAGGTATTTTTCATATCGTATTTTATTCACTCAATTTTTTTATTTATATCTTATTTTATTCATTATTTCTTCAAGTGCTTTATCATATTAGATAAATATATATTGTTAATCTGTTATTACTAATGAAATTATGACACTTTTCTTATGCTAAAATAATAAGAGGAAAATAATAAATTCTTACTTTTTAAAATTAAAACTTACATCATAATTAAACGATGAAAATGCACACCGTAACATTCCTATTGAAACATTTGTCGGTACAAGTCAAGAGGCATCTACTCAAATTTTATATGAAGAATCTTCGAATACATGTAGAGAAAAGTCTACCACTAACATCAATTTTCGATAACACTCTTTCTGTACGCGATCTAATTTTGCGCAAGTCAATTAGTTACTCATTAAGAAAACGAGATGTTTTAAAATATTTAATTAGTTGAAGTATTCATCGACTATTACTTTTTTTTTATTTATATTAATTCAGTTGATAATATTTTTTTCGGATTCGCCGTATAGCATATTGATTTTTTAAGTTTAGTTATTGTGCACGTAAGTTGAGCACCTCAATTTAATTCTTACAAGTCTTATCATATGTAATAACTTATAAGCAAACATTTCATGCTTTTATTAACAAATGAGAAAGTAAATTATTTTGAAATATATCAATTTTTCTAACAGTATTTTAAGGAATTGTTTATATATACACACTTACCCATCATGCATTAAGGACAAACAATATATGGTTAAACCAAAATGACATTGGCCTATTACCATATGAAAGAAATACGTACAAGTGGGCATTGCATCCACTGCAAATCTACGTGGCTAAGATTGAATGGCATCCAATGACTAAAAAGATTGAATCTCTTTTCTCGATTTTTTTATTAATTTTGGGTGAATATAAAATACTATTTTTTTAAAATATCTTAATCATTTGACATTAAACGCTCATATGCTTATGTACATGTAGTTCTCTAATCCGAAACCTCAATAAATAAGAACAATTCATTAACCAATAAGATCGCTTGGGTCATGTTGGTTCAATATTTTAAATATATGAATTAAGAGAAACCTAATGTCAAGTGTTTAGTTATAACTAATTTTGAAAATGAACCCTAAATATTAAGCACGATCTAAACTTTTATAATCACCACCAATGGCCATACAATACACATTTAAAATTTCCATTTTTGAAGTTAGGAGATGTTGAACCCTCAACATCAAATCATTTGCCCACCAACCTCATTGCTCTACAAAACTCCAAGAATTTTGCAAAAGCCAAACTGTCTAGCCAAACCATTTATCTCATTAGTTAAATAACACGTAATCTAAGTGGTAAAAAAATTATTATCCCTTTAGAATATATAAATTTAAATAGTTACGTTATTTGTATGGTATGTATATGTTTTCCACAAGTTAATTTTTTTTTTTCTAAAAATATATTATATTATAAGCACTTCATACTATTAAAAATTTAAATTTAATTTTTTTAAATAATTACATTATAATATTCAAACACACTTTAAATTCAAATTAACTTAAATTTTTTTATTCTATTCATAATTTTATGACTAAATTTCGAGTCCTGATAAGAAAAAAGCATGAATGCTTGGTTTTTTCAATTTCATGGTTGAATTATATGTATGTACGTAAACATTTTCTCTAGTTGTTCGGAAAGCTATATAAGAAACAGCTTAATTATTTTAATAAGTTTCAATGAATTAAAATCTATTTTTGAAGAAGTGCATTCAGAAAATAACAGCGTAATAATAAATTAATAAGATCCAGGTAGTATTTAATCAAGTATTAATTAATTTGAATCCATCCCCTAACTAAAATTAAAAGTTGAATGGCATGAGTATATATTTGAATTAAAATTAACTTTAAATAATAATATTAAATTTGTTATAATCTTATAATCTGCGACTTGGATTCGAATTTCGAAATCTTATTATTAATTTTGTAAAACTAAATTTCTATAATAAAAAAGATTAACTTTATTTCCCGTAAGAACTGTTGCGGAAGACGGCTATCGGATAGAGCAAAATCGCAACTGATAATTTGAGAAAATAAAAATGAAGATAAAAAGAGACACAAAATTTACGTGGAAAACCCTAAATAATATAGGGTAAAAACCACGGGCAACGGTAGAAGAATTTCACTATGAGAAAATAGGAATTACAACCTCTCTCGATCTACCAAGGAGAAAACAATGATAATTCTCTCTTGATAAAAAGGAGAAAACAACTCTCAAGAAACTCTCTAAATTCTCTCTAGTATTGGAAGAAAGCTAAAATGATTTGAGATGGTTTTGAAGCTAAATGAGCTAGGGTATTTATAGTTGAAACTTAAGGACTAATTTGTAAATACCTTAACTTACAATGGCTAAAATTAAGGTTCTACCATTGTTGAAAAATCAACAATTTCTGCAGCCCTTTCTAAATGTCAACAAATGCTGCCACCAAATAATTTCCACCGAAAGTTTGGTTTACTTTCGGTGATGCCACTTATTTTCAACAATCTCCCACTTGAATATTTGATTGGAACAATCATATCTTCACACAATTCTTTCTACCTTGTACCATTATGTTGCTTACGTCTCTGACAGGCCACAAGAAGATCGACACCAGGTAAATTTATCAGCATTGATCGCCTTTGTCATGAAATCTGCTATATTGTCTTTGGTATGGATCTTCTGCATATCTACCGTCCCTTCTTCCACCTTTTCACGAATTAAATGGTATTGAACTCGTATGTGTTTTGTCCTTGAATGAAATGCTGGATTCCTTGCTAGATGCAAGGCGCTTTGACTGTCACAAAACAGAGAGACATACTCTTGATTGTGCCCAAGCTCCTCCGATAGCATCTTCAACCAAATTGCTTCTTTACTGGCTTGTGTAGCTGCTACATATTCTTCTTCTGTTGTGGATGTAGCCACAACTGACTGTAATTTTGAAACCCAGCTTACAGCTCCACCAGCAACTTTAAACACATATCCTGTAGTAGATTTGCTTTTATCCAAATCGTCTGCATAGTCAGAATCTACATACCCATTGATTAGTAAGTTTGATCCTCCGTAACATAATGCAACATTTGAGGTCCCTTTGATGTATCTCAGGATCCTCTTTACTGTATTCCAATGCTCTTTGCCTGGATTCGCCATGTACCGACTAACCACTCCCACTGCTTGTGCAATGTCTGGTATTGTGCATATCATAGCGAACATCAAACTTCCCACTGCTGATGCATACGGTACTCGAGACATCTCCATCCTCTATTCTTCACTGCTAGGACTCATACTGGAGGATAATTTGAAGTTAATAGGAAGAGGGGTAGAAATTGGCTTACAATCTTGCATGTTGAATCGTGACAAGATTTTCTTCAAGTAATTCTTTTGTGAAAGCCAAATCTTCCTATTACTTCTGTCTCGGTGAATTTGCATCCCTAGAATCTTGTTTGCTGATCCCAAGTCCTTCATTTCAAATTCCCTAGCCAGTTGTGCCTTCAATTCTTCAATATGATCTTTGTTGGGTCCTACAACCAACATGTCATCTACATACAACAACAATATAACAAAATCGTTATCACCAGACCTCTTGAAATAAGCACAAGGGTCTGCATTAAGTATGTTGTATCCAAGGCACATAATGAAGGAATCAAATCTCTTATACCAACACCTCGGCGCCTGCTTTAGACCGTATAGAGATTTGTTCAACCTGCAAACCAAGTTCTTCTTTTCTTTTTCTTCAAAACCTTCAGGCTGGAGCATATAAATTTCTTCTTCAAGATTTCCATGAAGAAAAGTTGTTTTAGCATCTAGCTGCTCTAGATGTAAATTCAATGTAGCACACATTGTCAAAACTACTCGAACTGTTGTTCGTCGAACCACAGGAGAAAATATTTCATTGAAATCAATACCTTCTTTTTGAGCATATCCTTTGACTACCAGTCTTACACGATACCTCTCAACTTAATCGTCACCATTTCGCTTGATTTTGAAGACCCATTTGTTACCAATTGGCTTCCTTCCTTGTGGTAGTGGCACAAGGTCCCATGTATTATTTTTATGAAGGGCTTTGATTTCTTCTTGCATCGCCATCATCCAAAGTGAAGCATCTGAGCTGTTTATTGCCTCCTGGTATGTTGATGGCTCACCGTCCTCTGTTAAAAGGCAGTATGCAACATTTCCTTCTATAATATAATCTGAGTGCCAATTGGGACGTCTTCTCACACGATCTGATAGACGAGTTGTTGGAGCTTCAGAACTCCCTGGTTCTTGTTCATCATGTGCTGGTTCTGCTTCAGAAGAATCTCCTTGTTCAACCTCATTTTTCATATGTATCTGTGTAGTCTCTGACTTTTCAGCGCTATCATCATCTTATTTTCTTTGTAACTTATCTTCTACAAAGATAACATCCCTGCTAATGATCACTTTGCGGGCAGTAGGATCCCACAAGAGATACCCCTTTACACCATAAACATACCCCAAGAATTTGCATTTCCTGGATTTTGGATCCAGCTTTGAAATTTCTTGGGAGTTGTACATCACATACACAATACTTCCAAATACATGGAGGTTTGAATAATCAGCTGGTTTACCAGTCCACATCTCTATTGGTGTCTTCAACTCTATTGCAGTTGATGGAGCTCGATTCACCAAATAACAGGCGGTATTGACTGCTTCTGCCCAGAATGATTTTTCTAGGCCTGCATCCCTCAACATTGCTCTTGTTCTTTCTAACAAGGTTCTGTTCATCCGCTCTGCCAGTCCATTTTGTTGAGGAGTATTCGCCACTGTGAACTGTCATTTGATGCCTTCTTTCCTGCAAAAGTCATCAAATTCTTCACTTGTGTATTCTCCTCCATTATCTGTTTTGAAACACTTGATTTTATTTCCAGAATCAAGTTCCACCCGCGCTTTGAAGTTTTTGAAAGTTGAAAACACATCGGACTTCTTCTTAATAGGGTACACCCAACATCTCCTAGAGCAGTCATCAATAAATGAGACAAAATATTTTGCTCCGCCTAGGGATGTAACTGGTGCTTGCCATACGTCAGAGTGAACCAGTTCTAGAACACTTTTGCCTCTAGAATTTGATGTGTTGAATTTCAACCGGTGCTTGTTATGCAATGCTCACATAAAGTAAGTGATACCTTTGTTAAGCCTGGAAGTAGCTTTTGCTCCACAAAGACTTTCATTCCTTGTTCTGACATGTGTCCAAGTTTCTTATGCCACAGCATTGTAGAATCTGAACTACATGAGGCAACAGAGGCTTCTGCTTCTAGCAATGTCTCTCCCTTAAGCATGTACAAGTTTGCAGCTATCTTTTCACCTTTCAGCACCACAAGCGCTCCACAGAACACCTTCATGATTTATTTCCGTGTTTCAATCTTGCTAGCATTATTATCCAACAATCCGTAGGATAATAAATTTTTCTTCAGACCTTTCACGTGCCGCACATCTCGAACAACTTTAATTGTTCCATCATACATCTTCAATTTGATGGTTCCCACGCCAACGATCTCTAAGGCATGATCATTGCAACTATACACAGATCCTCCTGAGACAGGTTCATAATGATGGAACCATTCTCTTCTTGAGGTCATGTGATATGTTGCTCCCGAATCAATGAGCCATATATCTGTAAATCATTTTCTGCCTTCCACGGTGGTTGACGCTTCACAACATAGAACATCTCCATCATCTGAAGTGTTTACGGTATTGCCTTGTGGATTAGAGTTTTTATTTAGACTCCAACAATCATTCTTCAAGTGACCCTTCTTTCCACAATTGTAGCACTTTAAATTCTTCTTGCTCCTCGACTTCGATCTACCATGTTTGTGATTGCTGCTTTGGCCACGTTCTGTTGATCTCCATCTCATCGTTGTCATCGTTGTCAATGCTTCTGCTTGTTGCATATTTACTTGCCTGTCTTCCTTGTTCTTGTGCCGATTTTCTTCTTGTAGAACAGCAGATGCAACGTCATCGAAGACTAGACTAGTGACATTACTGTTTGTCAAGTTGATGATGAGTTGATCATACGAATCCGGTAGACTTTGAAGTAGAAGTTCAGCACGTTCTTGTTCTCCTATTTTACAACTTAAGGATGTAAGCTGAGAAAATAAAGTGTTCAGTGTATTTAAGTGCTCCGTCACTGAAGTAGATTCTGGCATGCGGAGAGTGTACAATTTTCTCTTAAGAAAAATTTTATTGTGCAACGATGTGGCCTCGTACAATTTGGTGAGATGATCCCATATCTCCTTAGCTGTCTTCTTCTCCTCGATGCTTGACAATACTTCATCTGCTAATGCTAGATGAAAGTTTGCCATAGGATTCCCGTCCATCTCGTTCCATTTGATGTCATATACGAAATCCACCGGCCTTTCATTGATAGCCGCTAGACACCCGTCTTTCCTTAGGATGGCCTTCATCTTCAATTCCCACAATGAGAAATTTCTCCCATTGAATTTTTCAATATCAAATTTCGTTGCCATAGCTTCTTTTACGGATAGCTCCCACTATTTCACTATCGTGAATAGTTCTCTGGAACCTTCAAAGAATGAGTAATAACTTCTTATTTTCTTATGTGTGGAGGATCCACCTTTTTGTGGCAACCATAAAGACAATAAGCAGATATTACACACTCTAATCTAGCTCTGATACCAATTGTTGCGGAAGACGGCTATCAGATAGAGTAAAATCGCAACTGATAATTTGAGAAAATAAAAATGAAGATAAAAAGAGACACAAAATTTACGTGGAAAACTCCTAAATAATATAGGGTAAAAACCACGGGCAACGATAGAAGAATTTCACTATGAGAAAATAGGAATTACAACCTCTCTCGATCTACCAAGGAGAAAACAATGATAATTCTCTCTTGATAAAAAGGAGAAAACAACTCTCAAGAAACTCTCTAAATTCTCTCTAGTATTGGAAGAAAGCTAGAATGATTTGGGATGATTTTGAAACTAAATGAGCTAGGGTATTTATAGATGAAACTTAAGGACTAATTTATAAATACCTTAACTTACAATGGCTAAAATTAAGGTTCTACCATTGTTGAAAAATCAATAATTTCTACGGCCCTTTCTAAATGTCAACAAATGATGCCATCAAATAATTTCCACCGAAAGTTTGGTTTACTTTCGGTGATGCCACTTATTTTCAATAAGAACTGACCGAAAAAATTCCCGTGAGAAGTGCAAATAAATTAAAACATCAATATAAAAATATTATTAATTAGGATTTGAAAAAATAATTATTTTTAATTGAGCTGATATTTAATTATTTATAATTTAATCATGAATTTTATAAAAACTGAGACGAAGATAATTATAATTCTATATTTAATAATTTACTAAATTATCATATATTTAAACGGATAAAAATGAGAATGGATAAAACGGAAGTCAACTAAATCCCGTTTCATCTGGATCCCGTTGATCTCTCTCTTCTCTTTCTCTTTCTGTTTCTCTGGGTCGCTTCAAGTTTAACCCTTTTGTCTTCGTTTGTCTCCAACTCTTAACCCTACTTCTTAGCCTTTTTAACGCACGAGTCGCAACATTCTCTCTTTTTCCTTCAACTTTCTTCATTCATCAGAACTCTCTCTCTTTTAATTATATAAAGGGACCCATTCCCTTCTGTATCTGTCCCCCAAGAGTTATTTTTCCCCTTCAAAATCCAATCAGCTTAGCCATTTTTCTCTCTCTTTCAACTAGCTGTTTCTTTTCCTTCTATATTTTGATTCAAGAATCCCAAGATTGTTTTGTTTTTGGTATTTTGGGTCTTATATTTCAATACATCCAGGGAGGTTTCATATAAAATTTCTGGGTGGTTTGGGTTTTCCCAGAAAAATTAGCGATTCGAGGAGTTTAAGGTTGTTTCTTCTCGGTTTTCCTTTTCCGGGTTTGGACAATGGTGGCGAAGATGATGAGGTGGCGACCGTGGCCGCCTCTGGTTTCAAAGAAGTACGAGGTGAAGTTAATTGTAAAGAGTTTAGAAGGGTGGGATCTGAAAGGGGAAGGCGAGGAGAAGCTGGATAAATTAACGGTGGAGATTCGATGGAAAGGTCCAAAGGCTTCCCTTGGTTCTTTAAGACGAACGGTTAAGAGGAATTTCACTAAAGAAGTCGAAGGCATTTGTCAGAATGGCGTCGTTGTGTGGGATGAAGAGTTTCAGTCCCTTTGTAGCTTATCGGCTTATAAAGAGAACGTGTTTCATCCATGGGAAATCGTTTTCTCTGTCTTGAATGTAAGTCTCAAAAGAACAGATTCTTTTATTTTCTGGGTTTTATGGAACCAATTTTTTCTTTATCTTCAAAGAAATGATAAATTGTTTAGAGTTTTAGGGGACTTGAATGTTTTAATTTTATATTTCCTGCATTTTGTTTGGTATGTTCTTTTGATTGGTCTGGAATTTAAATGAGGAATTTATGATCTGAACTATATTTTTCTTTTATACAAATCCATAGGATTGAATTTAGCTTAGAACAACTTTTTTACGAATAATTCGGTTGTCTTGTTCCCGCATGACAGTCGACTATAGGAGAGTTTGACACGTTTCGAAAAATTGCTAATTCTATTCCATAGAAAACATCCGAAACAGCTGTTTCCATCCTTGTTTTTCATGTTTGACTTATTCTTCTGTCTGAATTTCTTGATCCGTTGAAACTATGCTAGGTTAGGTCTTTCTTTTATCACCATATTGTTGTCAACATTGTACTGGATTTCGTTTCAACAAGCTATCTTTCTTGACGCAGGGCTTGAACCAGGGACCGAAGAACAAGGTTACAGTTGTTGGGACTGCATTTTTGAATCTCGCTGAATATGCATCTGCTGCTGAAGATAAAGAGTTTGAGCTAAAAGTACCTCTCACGCTCTTGCTCGGTGTTGCCAAGCCTGGTCCCCAACTCTGTGTATGCGCCTCTTTAAAAGTTAAACTCTTATATGTTTGAATTCTAGGTTTCTTTTATGTTTTCTGATATTCCAATTATTAAGTTATCTGTCATCACGTAGATATCACTTAGCCTTTTGGAACTAAGATCTGCTCAAGAAACCACTGAGCCAGAACAGAGAGCTGTAGTGCCGATTGCATTGCCTTTCCAGTCTGGAGAAAGTGTCACAATGGAAAAGGATGAGCTTTCTGCGATTAAAGCTGGTCTTAGAAAAGTGAAATTTTTTACGGAGTATGTTTCTACCAGGAGAGCAGAAAAGGCTTGTCGAGAGGATGATTGCAGTGAAGGAAAGTGTTCTGCTCGAAGTGATGATGGTGAGTATCCACTGGACACGGATTCACTTGATGATTTTGAGGAAGGAGAATCAGATGAGGTGAAAGATGACACAACCATAAGGAAGTCATTTAGTTATGGTACTCTTGCACATGCAAATTATGCTGGGGGATCATTTTACTCCTGCACGGGAACCAGTGAGGATTGGGTGTACTACAGCCATCGGAAATCAGATGTAGGCTGCTCAAACTTTGAGGATTCTGCTACATTCATGTCAGAGGTATCCCTTCTGCAGACTTCAAAGCGCAGCATTTTGCCTTGGAGAAAAAGGAAGCTGAGTTTCAGGTCTCCTAAAGTGAAAGGGGAACCACTGTTAAAGAAAGCCAATGGAGAAGAAGGTGGAGATGACATTGATTTTGACCGCCGTCAGCTTAGTTCTAATGAATCATTTGGGGTAAGAATATTTTTTTATTTAATTCACATTTAATCTTTCTGAACATCTTCGAATTGCTTAGATGAATATTTCTTTCTATTATTAATCTTGTAAGTTTTCTATTTATCACGTTGTTTTCTCACGAATTCATGCATATGTGAAGATGCTATTTTTTCTGTATCAAATTGGGGATTTGGATATCTTTCGTTGACATAACAGCTCATATCTTTAGAATCTCTTCTAGTTTGGAAGGTTCCCTTTCTTCATTGACTTAATACATTTTGAAGGTCATCGTTGGGTTCTATGTTAAGAAATAATGTAGTATTATCAACTCCAATTGTTTGTTCTTGCACAACTGTTACTGGATTGAAGTGCATTAGGATCTAAATAGAAGTTCGTTTGTTTTGGCAGTGGCACAAAACTGATGAGGATTTAGCAAATCGTTCATCAATTTCTGAATTCGGGGATGACAATTTTGCCATTGGCAGCTGGGAACACAAAGAATTGGTAAGCCGTGATGGACACTTGAAGCTTCAAGCCCAAGTCTTTTTCGCGTCTATTGATCAACGGAGTGAACGAGCAGCTGGTGAAAGTGCATGTACGACCCTTGTTGCTGTTATTTCTGATTGGTTTCAGAAAAACCGTGATTTGATGCCTATTAAGTCTCAATTTGATAGTTTGATTAGAGAAGGCTCATTGGAATGGAGGAACCTCTGTGAGAATGAAATCTACAGGGAGCGGTTCCCTGACAAGCACTTTGATCTCGAGACAGTTCTCCAAGCTGAAATACGTCCTCTTTCTGTAGTGCCAAAAAAGTCCTTTATCGGGTTTTTCCATCCTGAAGGTATGGACGAGGGAAGATTTGACTTTTTGCATGGTGCAATGTCTTTCGATAACATCTGGGATGAGATTAGTCATGCAGAATGTCCGAACAGTGCTGAACCTCAGGTTTACATAGTTAGTTGGAATGATCATTTTTTTATCCTGAAGGTTGAACTAGAAGCTTATTATATCATTGATACTTTAGGAGAGAGGCTTTATGAGGGATGCAATCAAGCTTACATCTTGAAATTTGATCGCAATACTGTAATGCACAAGCTACCGAATGTTGCTCAATCATCAGATGACAAGTCAAATGGCAACCAGTTCATAACAGCAGCTGCTGCTGAACCAAAAAATCCACAGGTTCAACAGGTCAATGCTAAGGAGGGTTCCATGTCAGAGGCTGTAGTTACCAAACCCGAGGAATCGCTCAAGAGCGAAGGTACCGATGAGGTTGTTTGCAGAGGTAAGGAATCCTGCAAGGAGTACATAAAGAGCTTCTTGGCTGCTATACCTATTAGGGAGTTGCAAGCAGATATCAAGAAGGGTTTAATGGCATCTACACCGCTACATCATCGACTACAGATTGAATTTCACTACACCAAGTTCTTGCAACCACTGCCGGGGACTTCTGCTATTCAAACCACAACCACCTTGCCACTCTCAGATGTTCCATTCTCCGAAGTTGCTGCATAGGAATTACTGTAAATTCTAGGAGAAAGTGTGATTACTCTAACTTGTTCTTTTTTTTTTTCTGTGAGAATCTTATGATGCGAATTGGGTTTAACAAAGAGGAACCGATTTTAGCCTTTTGTTGGGTTTGTCCCAAGTTTGCTGGAAATAGAACATTAACCTTTCTGGTATTTTGGAGACGATTTTCTTTTTTCTCATATGATTAAGCTGTTGATCAGGGGTGAATATTTGATCTAGTCGAGTTAAAAAAATTTGAGTTATTCGAATTTGATTAATCATATTTTATGACTCAACACGAAATAAGATTTTGACTTGTTCTTGTCAACGTTCTAGCTTCGTTGGTTTGACTTTTAAAATCAAAGCATGTAAACCTCAGAGCTAAATTCCACAGAAAGGAAGACAATGAGGGGCGCAAAGTCTTTGATTAAAAAAGATTTGATGTGTTTCGTCTTTTATCAAGATCCCATGGTTTTAAGATATTATGAACATATTTTTAGTGTAAAATTTGCAGCTATATTGAGTAGGGTGTAATTGAGTTAAGCGTAAGAAGTTTGAGTTAGAGATGTACTTGAAGCTTAAGCTATGTTTTCATAATGCACGTTGAAAGGGGAATATAATTCATCTATAAATTAGTTTGCAGTCCCACCTGTTTATTTGTATAGGAGAGGGTTGATTTTACCTCATGATTTTATCAGTGTACTCGTGTATTTCCAAAATAAAATTATAAAAATTTATTAAAAAATAATTTAGCAAAATATAATTTTAGATAATTTTTTTATTCCTTCTACCAAACATCGTAATTCATATATATATGACAAATTCTGGGCATACTTGCACCAAGTAGACAAGAATCAGATTTAAGTTGTAGAAATCGGTCGTTTTCTCAACCGCAACATCTCTCGAAAAGTCAGTATCCAAAGAATCTAGGATGAAATCGCCACCAAGATCATCATCACTATGAAAGGCTAGAGTCTTATATCTACCCTCTTGACTATGATTTGATTACCAAACATAGTGAAGAACTCTACAAGAGAAAAAATACAAGAAAAAATTATCAAATACAATCTTGGATGAGTACAACTTAAACTTACGAGTTTGTATTCAACAGACATATTTTTATGACCACTAGATTATCTATAATCAACTCAACCTAAGTTCTGATACCGTTAAATGTGACACTTAATTTTGATTCGGTTAAATTCGATGGATCTAAGGGCCACACAAAATTACTAAAGTGATTAACCATTTTTGTTTTGAGAACTTCTTTACTTAAAAATCTTTAAAACATAATCTTTTCGTTATATAACTATATCTAGTTTTTGATACCACTAAATGTAATACCTTAATCCCGATTCGGTTAAATTTAAAGGATACGAGTGTCACACAAAATCACTAAAATGATTAATCAATTTTGTTTTGAAAAATTCTTTACTTAAAATATTTAAAACATAATATTCTCGTTATATAAATATCATAAGTATTAAATAAATTATACAAAATACGACGCTCTATAATTTTAAAATTGTGTATATCAGAATAATAGAGTTACTAATTATTAACAAAATACATAAGATCTTGTGAATATATAGCACAAATAATTATTAAGGTATTGTACTCTAAAAGAGGCTTGATGCTGAAATCTCTCTATGATGAAACTCCACGGATAGTATTCAGTCTAGCCACCTACGAATGAAAACATCTGAATGTTGTGTTTGACAAGCTCAATAACACACAACTACACTACAATAATCTATGCAATCCATAATATAAGCATGCGATACAAGTATAAACATATAGATACAAGTAACAAGTATGAATCATCTCAACATACATCTCATGATAATAAACCTATCATACATCACTATTAATATAAACATCACACAACACATTATAAAAGTAGTTGGATCAAAGATTTTGGACAACACAACATCAAACCAATGATCAAATCCGATGCTTGAATCACACAATATCAAGCGTTAGAATGTATGGTGTCTGAACCACACAACATCAAATTAAAGAGCAATGTGGCTTCCGAGCCATACAACATCAGACCATGTGTAGCATCGCAATGGCGCATGTGTGATATGATATTCATCTAGTGTAGGCAATTTTAACTTTAAATCCTCCATCATGATAAGAAATCTGAGAGGATCAACTATTTCGAAAGAAATTTAAAAGAAATATTTGAAACAAACGAAAAAAATAAAGAATTTTCTTTTATGATCAAAACGTTTATTTAAAAATTTTAATAATAGAGTAAATATGTTTGACTGATTAGTTAAATTGCTCATCTTTGTTCTCTCGTATTTTCTTAGGTCATGGGTTATAAACATATTAGGAGCACTCATCTTCCTTCTCATAGAGTCCTCTAAATATGATTAATATCGAATTTAGAATTTGTCAAAAAAAAGTGAAGAGGGTTTTTTTCCTTTAAAAAATAGAGAGTAAATATATATGTTTAGACTTCATTAATGAATAACGAACGAGATTATAGAATTAATGTAATTTGTGAGTTTACTTCGATATTTAAGGTCCCGCTTTGGTGTTTGCTTATTGCGCTGAAGCGAATGCGATTATAGTAAAACCATAGTTGACTAAAATTGAGAAAACAATTAAATTAGTACGAGATTAAATCACACTTACTGAAAATAAATTATGCTTGTAGCAAGTAGTAAAAGGGACAACAAAACATTGCTTATGTCAAATTTTTTCTTAACAAGTCAAATCATGAATTCGGAGCATTACCTTATCTTGGGAAGTCACAGACTTGTAATTCTATCACATGAATATGATATAATGTCTGAAAGATTTGGAATTTTCAGGACTCAGTTGGTGGGTATATGGTTGCATTTGCTGGTCGAAAATATGCTGCAAGGTCCCTGCCTGCTTTTGTTGCAAATGGAACCTACACTGTAACAAGCTTCACTCTTGTAAGGAGCTAGGAAGAAACACTTTTCTTTATCTATGGTATTGATCTTATACCTTGGTTGAGGTCTTCAGAAACTGATGGTGGTTTCGTTTATGCAGGTCCTTGAGTTTAAGAAAGGCAGGCTGCAAAACTTGTTTTTGGAAAAGGGATGGTTGTGCACAATGTTCGGGGAAATGAAATTTTGTGTGCCTAAACAAACAAGATTGTGCAATTAACACAAACAACTGCAAAAACCGTGGAGGTTCCGTTGATTGCAGTATTGGTATACAGCTAGCATTTTCTGGAACAGATAAGCACCTTTCTGCCCTGAATTCATGGTATGAAGTTGAGAACATTCGGCAGTACTCACTGTTCGGCCTTTATTCTAATCTCAGAGATTCTCTCACTACCCAATATAACAAGATCTTTTAACGGTGCTTTTGATAGTTAGTTGCATTTTCTCTTAGGTGGCGTTTGGTTGGCATGAATCCCTTGGAATTAGGGAAATTGAAATCTAATTCCACCATTTTCCCATGTTTGGTTCAAATTTTACAAGGGAATTGGAATTCCTCATGGCTTCAACTTTCCATCAAATGAGAGAAAGTGAATTCCATCCAAGAATGGAGGGAATTGAAATTTGACCATACTACCCTCATCAGTCTTTTGGTAACATATTCATATATTGAATAAAAATATTTTTTAATTATTTCGGGTCGGGTTTCTTATTCATATATTCGGGTCGGGTGAAATTTTATTTTGGTCGGGTCGGGTCGGTTTTTTTTAAGTGTGATATTCGGGTCGGGTCGAGTTCGGGTTTAGGGTGAAAAATACCTGACCCGAAAATATATATAAATTTACCTTATATATTTAGGAATAATTACAATAATAGCCCTCTATATATAATTTTTTTCAATTAAGTCACTGTTTTTATTGAATAAAAATAATTTTTTTATTATTTCGGGTCGGGTCGGATTTCTAATTCATATATTCGGGTCGGGTCGGGTGAAATTTTATTTTGGTCGGGTCGGGTCGGTTTTTTTTAAGTGTGATATTCAGGTCGGGTTCGGGTTTAGGGTGAAATATACCCGACTCGACCCAAAAAATATATAATTTTACCTTATATATTTAGGAATAATTACAATAATACCCCTCTCTCTATATATTTTTTCCAATTAAGTAATTGTTTTTATTAAATAAAAATATTTTTTTATTATTCGAGTTTCTAATTCATATATTCGGGTCGGGTCGGGTGAAATTTTATTTTGGTCGGGTCGGGTCTCGGATGGAGGTTCTCTTGTTCTCGGGTCGGGTTGGGTGGACCAAAAACCCGACCCATGACCATCCCTAATTGGGATGGTTTTAACTTATGATGTTTATTAGCATGATTTTTATAATTTATTGAAATGAATAATCAATCAATAAAATTACTTTTTTTAAATTTTTATAATATATTACTACATGTAATTTATAAAACAAACTAAAATTAAGCAAAAAAATAAGAAGGACAATCCTGTCATTTTACATTACTGAAATCAAATTCATCTGATATGTCTGCGAACCAAACAGAATATGGAATTGGATTCCAATTCAATTTCCTGCCAACCAAACAAAATATGGAATTGGATTCCAATTCCTGACAGATTCTATTTCATTCACAGATTTCAATTCTCTCAGAAACATTCCAGCGAACCAAACGTCACCTTAGTTATTCGTATGCTGTAATTCTTTTCCCTCGTGCTTTTCAATTGATGTTATGTCTACATCTATCATTGCCTCTATTCCTTTCTGGTGAAACTGCTGCTCTTACAGTTCAAAGAGAGTTATGTGGGTATATTATGTACAATTGTGTTTTCTTTTTGTTTGTAATTACAAATCTGATTCGTATGGATGCTTTGTTCTTCATGCTATCTAGCTTTTAACTTTTGATATTGTTAATGTTAGCTAACTTCTTGAAAGATTTTTTCTGTTGGTTGGATTTTGATATTCTGTTATTAACTGATTTTGCAATTAGCCTATATGAAGCTGCTCTTTTCACAAAGCTAGCATTACCTTTTTTGTTTTATCTGTATCTGTTTTCTCCCTTGTTCAACGTGGACATTTGCAATAGGTTTCATCTTTTTATATGAGCAGCTGTGGGCGCTGGTCTCTCTTCTTGTCAGCTTATTTTTTACCATTCATTTTTTCATTCCTTTTCTCCCAAAATCATTACACTGTGAGTTTTATCTTGCCATCTAATTCTCGCCAGAGCTCAGTTATAAAGTTTAACCCCCTCGGGCCCCCGTCTCTCGCTTTCCTTCCTCTTCTTTAAGTAAAAGGGACCTGCCTAAGCTTCTCACCCACAATTCAAGGTAAATGGTAATAAATACTAATAGCACCAGTAGTATTTTACATTCTGGAGAATACAAACAGTAGTATTTTACATCCGAGGACAATACAAAAACTTCTAGTTTACATTGCATTAGAATACAAGCACAACTGGTATTTCACATTCTAGGACTACAAAAGTTAGTATTTTACAGCGCTGGAGAACAAGAGCAGTAGTGGCATGTTACATCCTAGGAGAAGAGAATAAAAGGGAACTTTGCATAAGTACTCGTTCATCTAACCTGGTTAAGGTTTTGTCTCTCTCCTTCTCTTTAGTTTTATTTTGCAACGTGCTTTAAAGTTCTATAGAAATCTCAAGAAGTCTATGGTTGTGGGTTCTTTCTCTTGCATAGAAGTTGGTTGCAGAGTCAATCCCAAGTCCGAGTCTAGACTGGGTGTTTCAATATTGTAGCACCATATATCTTGAGTATGGCTGTGGAAAGTTGGTGTTCGCTTCTTGTCAATGCTGGAGCAAGTTGCAGCTGTCGTACACCTGGTCACTGTTGGTTCCAGAGTCAATTCTAAACTCAAACTCAGTCTAGGCCTTTTTGTCATGTATCCTGCTATATCCTGGGAAGTGCTATGGGTGGCTGTTATGTGCTCCTTCTCGATCCTGGACGTTGTAGTTTCAGTGGTTTGAATTAGTTCATGGTTTAGGACATCTGCGGAATGATCCTCAGAAGGATGGAAGGTAGCCGTTGACTCATTGGAACTGTTGTGGCTGGTTGAACCCTTGTTTCCATCAAGGTTTCGGTACATAAAAGGAGACCAACGAGCTTCATAAGGACTGGTACGTTTCTTCACTTTAATCCTGAGCTGCATCGAACCTGTTTCATCTTGCTCTTCATAGATGATCACTCTGTCACCCACACAAAGCTCCTTGCTTTGAGCAAATAGAATCCATTCTTTGATGAGAACAGGCTTAGGATGTTTTGGCCGATCCAAGTCGTCTCCAATATTACGTATAGAGCAGCAAAGGCTCCAATGACGTCCGCTCTCA